ATACTAGAGTTAGGTCTATTCGCGAATTGGCTATGCCCCGCTGTCCTCTGGCAGACAGACAGGTGTACACCCTTTTGGTCGGGTGCAGGATCCTGAATGCGTCGTGTAGCTGCCTGTCCAGCATAAGATGTTTAAGCACAGTAATGTCCGGACTCCGCAAGGGGTCAGCGAGCTCCTGGCGTTGTGAGGATGATCTGCGGTCGATGGCAGGGTCCAACGCGGTGTTGAAGTCCCCAGTCAGTATCATCGGGGCGTCGTCTAGCATGTTTTGTTGTAGGGTTTGCCAAAAGTCTATTCTGGCAGCGGGATCATTCGGAGCATAGACACAAACCAGGTAGAATTCCTCTCCTTGCATTGCCACTTTCAGGCAAACCCACCGCCCTTGGTGCCTGTCAAAATCGTATGCAATCGGTTGAAGTTTGGATGTTGGCAGCAGCCAGATTGCCACCCTAGCAGATGCCCTTGCTGTTGCCAGCGCGCTGAAGGATGGGTAGGGCCAGATAGCTCTTGCTTTGGCGTTATGGGGCGGTGTATCTTGCAGGTGTGTCTCCTGAACACATATGGCGTCAGGCGACTGACCCATGTCCGAGGACCTAATCATGTTCCAAATGGCATCTTTCTTGGCTTGTGAGGCTTGGATAAAACCGTTGACATTAAGCGAGCGGATATCTAGATCCGCTGTGGCCAACTTGGCAGCGCACTGAGGTTGTCTCCTGACCGGGGGAAACAGTGGGGAAGGGGGGGGGGCATTGAGGAGGGGGGGGCGGAGGTGGTGGTGGCACCCTCGGGGGATCTCGTGGAGGTCCCATGAGTGGCAGCGAAGGCAACTGCGAGGCAGGGCAGGAGGGGGGACGGGATGGGCCGGGGACATCTTCGGAGGCCAGCACCGTCGGCGCGTGCTGCGGGTCAGATCCTTCCATCAATTCTCAGTTGTGACTTGCTGGTTGTGATCTGTGGGTGTTGTGGTATGAAATCAGTCAGCAATCTTTACCATGGCTACGATCCGCGCGTTCGGACCGCCGTCCAGACGGGCTGGATTCAGTCCGGACTCCAGACATCCGGTCGGTCTGGAAGGTCCGGATCTGCCAAATTTCGAGGGGAAAAAAAAATAAAATCCCCATTGAGGAGCCAAGCCCCCAAAATTGTTTTGGGGGTTTTTCAGTCCCGTTTATGCTTTTTTTTCAGGTCCGGTTCCATGTCAGGAAATGTCCGGGTCCGGGTCCGGCGTAGCCATGGTCTTTACTGAGAGGATGAAGGGCGGGTCATTCCACTGCTGATGATCCTCGAGAATATTATCTTGCAGGAACACTCTCATAAACGTGAGAACTCTAGAGGAGGTCCAAGGGTGGTTGGCCCTGAAGAGGCCCGGCGTGAGGTTCATGAGTTGTGAGTGAGTGAACCATTCAAAGGCTGGGTTTGTCTTCCGCGTGCTCGTTTGAGGATCCATGAGAATTATCAGCGAATGATCCCCTTCAGAAAGGAGAGGGAATTTGGGAGGACAGCCCCAAACACTCCCCTGGATTCAGGTGTATTCTTGGAGAACATGAGAATGAATAACCGCTAAAGTTAAGATGCTCAGAATTTTGTGCCCCCTCCCTGAGTGGCCACCCGCCTCTGGAAGGCCCAACATGACGATGGACCCGTGTTAACCAGCATGGCGCTGCAGATAACTGGGTGGACAGCGTAATCCTCGTAAGTGAACCCAGGACTTGCGACATCCGCATTCTAGCAAGGCGGCCGAATCTGGCGGAGTGAGAGGTGGAGTCGCCTCACCTCCCGCGCAGCTCAGTTTCCCAAGCTGATTCGAGGTCGAACATCCTCCTTGCCTTGGTCTTAGCATTGGGAGGTCTTGTGCTTGGTGCTGTTGCACCAATAGCAGCAACCGTATCGGCTGCAGTACTTGTATTGGGCCTTGGTCAAGCTGAACTTGACCCATGGTACTGGCTGTCCATTTCCGGCCGGCGATGCTGTTTTCGCCTTCCCTTTTCCATGGGAGTTGTTGTTGCTTCGTGGCTGGACGGCGGCCACCTGATCTCCCTCACGTGATGCTGGGGTGGCTGTTAGGTCTTCCACAAGGTTGTCCGGTTGGACTGCACTGTCACTGCAGCGACGGGCTGCGGACGAGGACCAAATTTTCCTTTCTCCACATAGGATGGCTGCCACGCTGATTTCTCGTGTGGAGCAGCCCGGTTGGTCTTGATGATCTCACGAGCCTTGTCAATGATTTTGGCGAAGGTCATGTATTGTTTGCGATCACCGAGTGCGAGGCTCAAGGCGGCACACGACCGGTTGTAGAACTCCCGGCGCAGATGCGAAAATGGCAAGTCGAGATTGGGTGTTGCCACGATCTTTTGCCATTCCGTGAGCCAGTCGCGTGTCAGTGTGTTGCCTTGAGTCATGGCGAAGAGGCGGTTGATGGCGAGCGCCGGGGCGTCGTCAACAATGAACCGCTTCTTCCATTCCTTCGTCAGATCTTCCCAAGAGATTTTTTTTGGCAGGTCGGCGACCTGGACGTCGTGGATGGTTGCCATGTGGCTGAGCCAGATCTGGCATCCGCCCTTGGCATTGAGGAGCAGCGCCGAGATGTACAAGTGATCAGGGACCTGATGAATCCGAAGCTTTGTCGTAAAGCCCTACCACCAGGTGACCGGGTCCTGATGCGCATAGTCATCAAACTTTTCGATCTGGAACGTGGCATCTTGTACTGCGGCGATGCACTGGTGCTGCCATTGTTGTCGGGCGGCTGGTGTAGTTGCCGAACCTCGTTCTTCAAGGTGTCGAGCTGCTCGCTGATGGAGGCTGGTGCCGCGAAGGTGCTGATGTCGCCGAGCATCGCTAGTACATGGTCGAGTCGTTGCTCCAACTGGCGGGTTGAGGCTGCATTGCTGGGTTCGCCAGCATCTGGTCTTGGTGCTGCTTGCTCCAAGTCCTATACACGGGTATGAAGTGCCCGTGTGGCATCCTCGTGCAGGTCCTTACGGCTCCGCACGGCCTGTCGGAGCTTCTCCAGTTCTTGGTGCTGTTTCTCTAACTTGGACTGCAGGTGGTTACAAGTGTTAAGCAACTGGGTCACGAGTTTGGAGAGAAACTCCTTGTGCTGCTCTTCCTGTGTTGCGTTGTTGTGGCTCTTGGATGTTTCAAAGTGCCAGAACTTGAGCCTGTCGACGCTGGTGGCTTTGTGCTGCTGCAGCAGATCTTGGGCCTGCTTGCGGCGGGCCTGGGCATCTGCATCAGCTGCGGCCTGAAGCCACTGCTTTTCACCCACTGCTTCCGCTTCAGCCTGTAGGTGGGCAGCCTCGGCTGCCGCCTGGCGCTGTTCCTAAGCCTCGATCTGTGCGAGCTGATCTTGGATCCGCTGTCGGAACTTGGCAACGGACTCGCTGGCCAGTTGGCCTGGCATGCCCAAAACTGAAACCGTCATGGTGGCGGGGCACTGCTGAAGTGGTGCTGCTACTGACGTGGCACTGCTGACGTGGCACTGCTGCTGATGTGGCACTGCTGCTGTCGTGGCACTGCTGACATGGCGCTGCTACTGACGTGGCACTTACCAAACCGGGAACGCAGGCAAAGGGCTGGGTGGGAGGGAAACACAGGAAGGTCACCAAACTGCACTTTCCATTCCTGGTCCTATTCAACAGAACAAAATAAAAAAATAAAAGAAGAGGATCCCCCCCCCTTTTTTTTTTTTTTATTTAATATCTGTCGCTCGGCTATTAGCGAGGCATTACGGAGGAGTGCTACGACCGAGATCTAGCCAGGGTTTCGCAAAGTTTCGGCTTTCAAAAAAATGCGATCTTGAATTTTTTTTTTTTGCGTGAAATAGAATGCAGGTTCCACTTTCAAAGAAGAATAGATCCAGTTTTCGAGAATATGACAACCTCCCTAGTTCACCTAATATGCCCAGAGTGAAACAAAAGAAAAACGAAATGCTAATATCCGAATTTCCGGAGATCTGTTGCGAATTTTTTTTTGCACAGATTTGACGAAGCCCTACTTGATTAACTAATAATCAATCAATCAATCAATCAATCAATCAATCAATCAGTCAATCATGCAAGCTGGCTCGTTGATTGGGCAGATCCTCTGATTGAGAGGTCCGCTCCGATACCAAACTGTCGCATACCGTAATGGTGCAGACCAGAGGTGAGAAAACACACACAAAGCAAATCGACCAAGATCGCAAAACCCGTGATGACGGGAATACAGAAAAATTTGCACAGAACCCTCTGTCAATGTCACCTCCTTTTCTGCCACTCGCCCCGTAAACCTCCGAAACTTTCCGACAAAAACTTGGTAGTTTGTCCGCTACTCACAGGGAGTATCAGGCAAATACCGGACACGGTCTGCGGAAGAGGTCGAGTAACTAGTAATAATCGTATATAAAGAAAATTAACAAAGCTACGTGCCTACTATCAAGTCAGCTGTGAACTGCCACATCTCGTCATGGGACCGGGCGAAGTTCCTCAGTGCGGTATCAAAAAAGTGGTCCGGAAAATCCTTGGCCTGGTACTCCATCCGCAGAGTCAAAACCTGCTTCGGGATCCTGGTCCGGACTGTAGTATTGCGGTCAATTCGATGTAGCCATCCTGTAATGGCAGCCAATTTCTGTTTCCTACTGGCCCAAGACCGGACGTCTTGTCCAGATTTCAGAACCACTTCATGTGAGGTCCAAATTGAGTCCTCGTTCTTAGTCCTCTGGGTGCTTCCCAGGTACGGGAAACTGGGTCTTATCTCCATCTTACATCCCAGGAAATCCCAGTTTCCCGTTTTATCAATCCATTCTCTTCAGACTGAGTAGTCTCGGATAGCATCGTTCAATTTTTTTTCGAATTCGATTTGCCGTGCCGATGGACCCAGGGTTGCCCTTCTGGTAAGCCAGGAACAAAGAGACGTCATCCATTAGTCTGATCCCGCCAATTTCCGGTCCGACCCCAAAGTGACAAGAAACAAGGTGCAGACCAGAACAAGAGCCGACCTCTCTCACATAGTACAGGATAGCGCAGCGGAAGGCTAAAATACCAATGATCAGACCAATCAATGTCGYAATGCAGACCAAACATACATCATCATCATCGCAAGGTGTGAAGGGGCCTGGCGCTACACACAGGAAGAATGCGCCAGGCCCAGATCATACACAGACGAAGAGGAGGGGATCAGGCGAAAAGGAGGGAGAAGATGAGAATGTCGTCAACACCAATGTCGTTGATATCGATCCCAAATAGTCTCCCGTCAATGTCTCTGTCCCAAGGTTGAGTCTGTATCCAAATGTTGTCAACATCCCAAAGTCACAAATCTCTCTCTCTCTCTCTCTCTCTCTCTCTCTCTCTCTCTCTCTCTCTCTCTCTCTCTCTCTCTCAGTCTGCTGATACCGAGAAGTCAGGTAGCTGGAGGGGAAGGGAGAGATGGTGGACTGGAGGAGGAGGAAGAAGAACTTTCTCTCTCTCTTTCTCTTGGTGCCCGGTACTAACCTGTGAACGGTGGCGCCTTGCTGCAGGTACCTCGAAGACGAAGCTGAAGCGATGGTGTCACAGGTAAGCTCCCTGGCCTCCACCTCTCTCCTCCCTCTCAACGCTACTCGGAGCGCCCAGCGCTGAAGACTACTCCTATCTCCTACTACTACTGCAGCGCTCCCAAGAGTGCTGCTGCCGAATGTCCGAAGACTGCCTCCTGAACTACCTGTGGCCTCCCTGGCGGATGAGCACTATATAGCGCTGGTCCGGCTGGGAAGCCGCTCTTGCCGATGCCGAATCATGCCAGACCCTGGCGCCCAAGTTCAAAAAAAGTTGTCTTGAAACGGGCCTAAAAATGGCCTGCGCTTATCCCTGGTCTGGCGCCTAAGTTTCAGGAACGGTCGACTTTAAGAGGGCCTAAAATTGCCCCTCCTTTTTAGGCTGAAACGACACAGGGCCTGGAGGGCCCTTATTCCGCCTGGTCAGGCCCTGCAGGCCCGTGTGGTGTGCAGTATGCCACATCAAAGCAGTCATCGTGCCAGAGGCTTCGTTAAACAATCCCAAAGCCGTCCCCGCCCCTTCTGATGTGGCTCTTTCCAGAATTCCAAAGCGAGTGTCTTTTTTTTCCCCCCATGCCCAACCCAGGGATGACCACAATGCTTAATAGTGCTTATTGCTAAGTTATTGGTATTCTTTTTCCACTTTTATCTTGCCTATTGATAACTTATTATCACTTGATCAAAGAAATAGTAGAGGTGACAACGACGACCAAACGAGGAGGAGAGGAGGAGGAGGAGGAGAAGAGGGAAGGGGAGGAGGAAGCGAAAAGGAGAGGAGGGAAAGAGGCGTAGGAGGTCAGGGGAGAAGAAAAGGAAGAAGGGAGGAAGAAAGGAGTGGAAGAGCACGAAAAGGAGGGGAGGGGGAGGAAGAGGAGGAAGAATAAGAGGAAGCTACCTTAAAAATGAAAAAAAAATCGAGCAGATTTTAAAGAACATAAGGAGGAGGAGGAAGCGCAGTGCAGGAGGAAGAGGCGGAGGAGTTTCGGGTCAAGGAAGAATAAGAGGAAGCTAACGGGAAAAAGCAAGAAATGAGAACAGATTCTGCAGACATTTGAAAAACATACAAAATTATTTCCCGAGAGAAATAGTTGATTTCCAACCTTGGGAACACTGAAAAAGAACCATGATTACCAAAATTTCAAGCGAACATTTGAGACAACAACACCTACTGCCGATACCACTGTGATGTATAAGGTGATAACCAGGAGTCCGGTCCAATGGGAAGCCACAATCGTGTCCATCGTCATGTTGGCTAATCCTGTCAGAACATTAGCCTGCACACAGAATGTCTTCCATCAGTCAGTCTCAGCAGCAGCGAAAACAGAAAATGTAGGGACCGTGGAGAGAGAAGGGATGATGGGTTTCAAATTGTTTTCCATTGGTCATTCACGACATCAGCTGAAACAAAAGAGGTGAAGGAAGAAAGGCTGATAAAGGAGGAGGAAACAAGGATGAAGGGAGGATGCACGTTTCCCTTGATTTATTCACCACACTCAGCACACCGGCATAAACAGAAGTCGACAGAAGTAAGGGATGGTCAAACAAAGAGGATAGGAGAAGAACGAAGGGAGAATGGGCGCTTTCTATCACCCATTCAGAAGGGCATCAGAAAGAGGATGTGCAGAGGACAGGAATCGATTGCCAACAAGGACAACAAGGAAGAAGAGAGTATAGCAGCACTGGAGATCAAACCTAAGAAGGGAAAACACCTAGGAGGGAGGAGAAATGGAAGGAAGTGGGGAGAAAGAAAAGAGGAGGGCAGGAAAGGAGTAGGAGCAGGAGCAGGAGCAGGAGGAAAACAAAAGAAACCCAAAGCCAACAATCAATGTTGCAAGTCCAACATAGCTGACTGCTTGCTTTATGGATTGATTCACAACTGATCAAAGCACTTCACGATGTATGTATTGTTCATAGGTCATGTCAGAAATCACTCTTGTGCATAGGTCATGTCAGAAATCACTCCTGTCCAAGTATACATGGGCATCTGCATGTCACTACGTAGATCATGCACCTGCCTGTCCGCCCAGGTACATTCTGACAGCAGCAAGCATTGGATTGAATTGAGTTCGCATTAAGGCTATTCATTGCCATCATGGGGATTCAGATGCACTAAGTGGCAACCATTTCCTCCTCCAATTAAGAAGCAGGTTAAGTGGCAGTGTCCTTACCAGTTGAACTGTTAGCACACGGGGGTTAACAATCAGCGGTTGTCGAAGTAGCTCACAGTTTAACCAGTAATAGTTCATCCTCAACAACTGACTCTTAACAAAGTACAGCTGTTAATGGTTCACGCTTAACGCCACAGAACTCTTAATAGTTAATGGCCTGTCAACAGTGCACCGCTAGGAAAGTGATTCACAGTTGAAAAGTTAACAGTTGTCTGCAGAGAGTTAACAATCAACATTTGACTGTGCACAGTGTGTAGTGAACAGCCAAACAACACAGAAGCAATGGTTGGACACCCTGTAACCTAGCAGGGTGGAGGCATGAGGCCTGGGAGAGCTTGGCAGGGAATAAGACAGTGTTAGAGAATCCTTGAGTGTTTTGTTGGGGATTACAGGGGTTCTGAGCATTCGGAGGACTTCTGTGGCTTTCTTTTTTAGTAACTGCTGCTTGAATAGCCTAGAAATAGGTCCGCAGGTCAGCAGTTATTCATGTTTTCTTGAACTTTCTTGAACTCTTTTCATAGTTCTCAGATTGTTCTTAGCTGAAGCCAGGTAACGGCCCTGGTATTTCAAATCATTTGTATAATTCCATATGGGACGCTGGGCCCGGTTCCCAGCACGTGTTGCTCCCCACGAATAGATTGGAGCATGTCTCAAAAAAAAAAGAAAAAAATCTCTTTCCCAGATTTTAAGTTTTGACG